TGTCATTATTGTTAGACCCAGTCGAGTTCATCTCGTCCACCGGGTCCAAAACCTTTCACTAGAATATGGCCGATCGGGCCCCTCCCCTCTTCGGTCTGAGTCAAAAACAACTGACGCGCGGCCAAAACAAGCAAGTGGGCCCCCTTTTGATCAGCCCTGATATAAAGCGGTTACGTCATTTGATTTAATTTCTTTGGTTTTAATTGCAGTGTAGGTAAAGCGATCCTACAAAATCATTGTACCAAACTCGAAATACAAACTTGGTAATACATTGACGTACATGCTATTTCTCCAAACTTCCAACAGCGTAACCGTATCTTTGTTCTCGTCAAACGTCTCGGCTTTCTGTTGCCGGACCAGATATTTGGAAGTTTGTTAACTTCGTGAGAAAGTTGTTGCAAAGTGCCCGACGCACCCCTTTCTGATCCTCGGCGCCGCGGGCGGCAGCAGCAGCCAACGCCCATCGCCCATCGCCCATCGCCCACGCTGCACTCACCTGCGCCCCCGAGAAGCAACATTTTCCATTTTCGTTAAAAAAAACAGGAATCTCTAATATTTCTGTTTAGCGAATTTTTGTTCAATAAAATAAAATAAATTGACGATTTAATTACTTCTTTCCGTAAAACATTGAAATCATGCCTCTAACTTCAGTTCTTCAATTATCCTTCCGTAAAGCTTAAATCAGTCATGTCATTCTTCCTATTCTAGTAGAGTTCTTTTGACTTATTCTTCTCTCTAAGGTTTTATGCTCTCCCAGAAATATATTTAAACCTCAAAAATTGCTTTTTTTCAGTCCTGTCGTTCCTACTTTTCAGTTTTCAGAAATTTCATCACCGTCAAAAAACCCGTCACATATCACCGTCATGTAACCAACGTGAATCACAACCACCGACGTTTCCCCTTTTTAATCTCTTTTAAATATTTTCATCCTTATTCCTCGATCATTTATGAAACGAATTTCTTTACCTGGTTCAACATCTTATCTTTGTACAAAGTTGCCACTACAGTATAGTTCACTGAGAGGTACTAGGATTCGTGTTTCGGTGGCTGAAATCTCACACTATCTTTTGCAATCGGACACTATCTTACAAAACCGGGTCGAATTCAACCAAAGTGTTAAAATTGTAGGTAAACTTTATGATCGGTAATTCGATCGGTTTCCGAGCAATAGTAGGCTTTTCTCGACTTCTTAACGTGTTAAATATTGTTCAAAAACATTCATCTTTATTTTTCGATCTTTTATTTATTGAATTTCTTGCTTTTCTGCGATGTCTCAGTAGCCACAGCCAGTTGCTATTGCGATATCGTAGACCGGGATGTTCTGAGGGTCGAACCTCAACTGTGGCAATTCTCGATGCTAGTTACAATTCATGTGTGCTGGAGTAGGTCGCCCACTTGGCGAGCACCGGCCAGCGCTAAACAGCTGGCAGCCGGTGTGGCCGGTGTGCTGCTTATTGAGCATAGAGAGGAGGCGTTTCTCCTATACATAAAGGGGAAGGGAGGAGTAAAGGAGTCTCGTCTACTGCAAGTAGAGTGGCGCGCGGGCCACAGCAGCGGGTGCCGGCTAGCAGTTTGACCCGAACGCATGAGCTAGAGAGCTCTAATAAGTCTTAACTGGATTCAACTTTTGTGTCGAACTGAATTCAACCTTTGTATTGTGTTTCAACCTAAACCTTTGCGTTGAAGAGAATTCTAGTGGCCTTCTCTGATCAGTAATTTTCCGTTGTTTTTCCGAGAAATATCAGGTGAATTTCGATGAAGTACCCTAACCAACGGGGCACGAATCGCGCGTGATCTTCCCTTCATCTTCCTTTCTTCTCACCTTCATTACATCCTCTGCCGTGTACACTACTTTCAACAAATGATTCTTGGGGCCACAACAACTAATTAATCCAAACTTGATCTTGAATTAATAATCCTGAATAATCGTCTCCGCCAAGAAGCTTGGTTTGTTCCAAAACTAACAATACCATGGCAACTTATCTCAATGGCATTACAACCACAGCTATCAGTGAGAGCTTAAAGGCTTTTATGGAAAATAAAACTTTGCATTTTCATATTCCACATCAATTCATCGTTTGGAACACGCTTCTTAAGATTCTTTTGCAAATCCTTCTCTCCTGTTGAGCCTCCACTTTCAACTTACATCATCACCCGCAGAAATTACCTTTCCCTTTATATCCCTTTACCTGCCAGTCAATATTTGCCCATCTAGGGTGAACTCGTACATGAACTACATCATCCCTTCAGCGCATGTCCCCTCTCATCACCGCCTCCTTCCACCCCCTGCCTCTCTGCGCCAGATCTCCCGAAGTTCCATCCAACACCCAAACGAATTTTGGAATCCAGTTTCGGCTCATCGCATCCCTGCTCATTCCGACCAGTTTCATCCCTCGTCTCCCACCCCTCCGCCCCTTCACCCCACCCCCTCCCTCTGTTGAAACCGCAACTCCCACCCACCCTTCTCCGCCTGCAGCGCTGCGCGCGGCGCCGAATCCAATTACTCCTCCTCCGCGCGTTGAGGAGCACCTCTGCGCTTAAAACAGGGCTCGGGATTCGCGGCATAACAAAAAAAAAGAGAAGAAAGAGAAAAAATTGTCTCGCCGCCACGGCACGTTCCCCGACCGAGGTCGCACGTGACAGCTAGACCCTTTTTTTCGACTCGCTTGTTCGTGTCTCCGCCGATCTACCCCTAAGGGAGAGATAATACGGCTGAATAGTTAGGTAAGGATTGTGAAGACGTCGATCAGCCGAAGATGTGTTTTTGTCAGTTGACGAGATTATTTTTGTCATCTACCTACTTACAAAGTTTCATGAACTCTAGAGGAAAAGACACTGCTGTTTTTGCGATCAACAAAACTGTTTTACTTTTGGCGCTTACTGGATATAATCTTCATACGAAAGTGTTTGAACGAAGAGGACTGTTACCGTTGCATTGCGAAACATACCTGGCATCTACATCCTCACGAAAACTACGTTGAGAATAAATCGCGGACTACATCACCATACTAGTTAAATTTTATTTCCATATTGAAAACTAATGTTTTGACTGTTAACGTGGCTTTAATTATTGGTGTGATTTTTAATTATAATGTACTATTATGTGTATCAGAATCATAGCAAAAATATCAGATTAATGTTTAGTATCTTATTGATACCTATTTATTTCTACAAAATAAGGATCAGTAAGATAAAACTAGCAACATATGTATAAAATAATAATGCGTCTTTCCTTGATGACGGATTGATTTCTTTGTCTGTGAAAAGTACCTCCTTGTGTAATATATAACTTAAAAATAACTTAGAGATATGTATACTTTTGTATAACTTAAAAATAACATATTTTTCTTTGTTCGTATTTTAATTTAAGTACACGCATATATTAGAACAGGAAGCTATTTGTACCAATACACTTCAATTTTTAATTTGTAAAATGTGTGTGTTACTGTCATATTTGTGTGTTATTTTGTAATATTTTTGTTGATCCTTTTCTGTACTCATTTTCTGACACGATAATTGAAAAACCGTGCTTGCGCTGAGAAATTATCTGTGTCAATGAATCTAACGAGAAAACTCCAGTTGCAGAGTAAACTCACGGACACATATCCTAACTCAAAAAGGCTATCGCAATGTAATAGATTGAGCCCGTTTTTAATTCAATCAAAACTTTATCGGGAATGATGGGAGTAATATTTTCTGTCCCTACAAAGTAAAATCGATAGATGTTTGAAGTGAAAATTGAGTTTAGTGATGAGTTTTGTCTTGTGAGGCCTCCATTCATTTCGATTCGTGAATATTGTGGAACTAGAGTTTTGTCTAATGCCTTTAAAAAAATTCAGAATTGAAAACCCATATTTACTTTCCATTTCATTTGTTTCAATAGTAATTAAGGGAACTTTCAGAAACGACTCATAAGAGCTCGTCTAAAATTTTTAATTATATTCGTAGCGTTTCTCGTACAAAATTTCAAGAAATATTTTGTGTATCGTATTGAAAGAACATGCAGGTGTTAATTCAGGAATAAAGGATCATTTTCACAAGTCCTTCAAATTGAAAAAGTAATAATGGGAAATAATTTCAAGGAAGCGTTGCATTTTGAAATTATTGTCAATTTTTCAAGAGGGTAGTTTGTAATAATAAGTGTTGACTCTAGATAATTTAAATCAATCATGACATAGCATGTGATATGACATAGTGTGTAATGTTTATGATAATCTAACATTAATTTTGTGTGAATAAATAAAACACAATATCAAGTTTTCACAGAATGAACAAAACATTTTTTAAATAATTGTTATTAATAATTTATTAAAATAATTGCCACTTAAGATTTAAATTTATTTTATAATAATTGAAATTCAGAATTGAAAATAGAACCAGCGTACACAAGTGAACACCCACCGCTCAGCACTGTCTGATAGAAAACTGTTCCCTACAATTACATGATACTGTTGTTAATGTTGATTATTCATATTTATTATTATTGACTATTCACGCTTCATTAAGGGTCTGTGCGAGTTTTCTATATTTATAATAATGTTTTAAAGGGAAAAACGATCACGGGAGTGCTTAATGTTGCCAATACTACAATGAATACAATCGAAAAAAGATGCATTAAATTATGATGGGTTTACGTCTTTATAGAAATTGTGCATTATAATAAAGTTATATGTGATCGTTATGGTATGTAAATTGTGCAAATCTTCTGAGAATAAGCAAAGAGTTACTCAGTAAAATAACATAGGCAACATTTCCGCTTTTCCTTTCGCAGAGCACGGAGTTTTCTTTATACATCCGTAAGGCCCAGCGTGTATAACTTATTCATTGCAGCTTCATATATTAGATTTAGGAAACACTTATTAATTAATTCTGCAATTGTGTATGGAAACTTGGTAGCAGAATACGTTAACTTTGCATGCATAGACCTTACATTGACCAAGAATAAAATATTTCACGAAACGATGTGATATTCAGTCCGAAAACGCCGCCACGTGTTGCAGTGCCGGCAAGACTACAAGACGGCGTACCTGTCCTACCTGGGCTCGCCGTCCACCGTGACGCTGTCGGCCTACCTGGACGCGCACAACGAGTACGTGGCGCAGCTGCACGCCACCAACGGCATGCTGGAGCGCTACCACCAGGAGGCGCTGCCGCAGCTGCTGCAGGTGAGAGCGCCGGTCGATAGCACGCACGCCGCACGCACAGGCACGCCGCACGCACGGCGCACGCACGCCGGTGGGCCAGCTCGCCCGCCCAGCTGGGACAACACTCGGGGACAGCGAGGCTCCACAGTGCCGAAACTCTGCAACCGACATGTGTAAATGAAGCTTCACTAGGCGCTCGTTTTGTTGAACACTCTTTTTGCGTGTAATGGTAGGAGTAGAGGTAAGGGCGATTTACTATTTTGTTTGCAATGCAGAAAAATCATACCTGCAATTCGTGTACCTATGCAAATAAGTTTTCTATAACTCGGATACAAAAATGTCTTTTTTTCAAATATTGCTATTCTCGATCGATTTTTTTAGTTTAAATTTTTTTCACTTATTTTAAACTTTTACTCATCTTTTAACTATTTATAGTTGAAATGACGGGAAAGGATTCTGGAACTCAACAAAACGTGCGCATTGCCTTCTCCCCCATACGTCACATACAGTGTTTACTGTTTTTGACCAAATAAATCTAAATCTAAACATTATTTTCAAAACTGTGTTATATGCGCTTTGGGCTATTACATAAAGGCGCATCATCAAACGATACTTATTTGTACCTTTGATAGATACAATGGTTTCGTTAGCTTGAAATCCATTATCTGCACACTTAAGCCCCCCCCCCCCAAAAAATTGATTCCTTCTTTTCTAAAAAAAAAAAATTCTTCACCTCCCGGGTTTTGGCTTTTTATCTCCCTTTTTTGGCAGTCGAGTTGGGAGCGCATGGGTCGCTACCGGAGCCACGTGCATGACCTCAAGGTCAGTTCAGGGACGATTAGGTTTGTAGAACGGGGGTGTCGACAGTTCGCCCAACTGGACCCGCTTTTCTCAAACTGTCATCTTAGTCTTTCAGCTAAAGAACACTTCTGTCTTGGGTGTGCAGCATTAATTGCTGTATAATAAACGCCACATAGGATAATGATTTTAGTTAACAAACGATTTTCCCATTATCTTCGGTTTCCATTTGCGTCATTTTCAACACACTATACCATTTCAGCTTGTACTCTGAAACCTGCAGTCAACGCTTTTTGAATCTTAGAAACAATCCTGAGGAAAATTTGGACTCGCATGGAGGTGTTTTTCGAGGTCTTGTGAACGATGGCAAGTTTATAGATTAGTTGAAACTCCGTTATTCTTTTGCTTAGATGTTCTTGGGCAAGTATGCTCCTAGTGTGGTTTTCCGTTGTCTTTTCCAGGGGCACTGTGCCTGACAATTTCGATTTAACAGATACATGTTGCTGCACAATGTGGTTCTCATTCAAAACTACGGACATCACAAAAATTGCGAGCCTAGTGTTCATGCAGAAAACAGATTATCCCCCATCCAAAAGAAATACTAAACATGAGTAGCCACGAGGGGAGTGGTTCTCACTGTTGAAACTCATGAGCGTAACGGGCCTATTGCCAAAATAAGTCGTGAGTTTTGAAGTGCATTCACGTTCCATGTCTTTCTATCCAGGAAAAGCCACATTTTACTCTTATTTCCTTAAAATATTTTATCACTGCTGCGTTGTGTTCAGAGCAAAATTTAGGTGGTGTGCAATTGTTCGTACTTAATGTACAAACGTTTCTGTGCGAGATAAGTCTCAAATATGTCACCAATGGCAGTCTGAAGTTGCCCGCAAAACGAGACAGAAACGCTTAAGGGAACTGCTCAAGTCCTCTTTCTGTGCAATGAGCTGCAAACCGCTTGACTCAGCAATCTAGTAGAGCGCTGGGTAATATGTCCACCCAAATTCCGTTTCTACTAGTAGAGGTTCAAGAAACGTGAGTTAATAGATCGTTGGTCGTGAATTAAGAGAACGTTGATAATATATCTCACGAATTTTATAACCCTGACGGGGCGAGAGACTGCTGGAAAGAAAAACATATATCTTTTACAGCAGCTTACTTGCTAAGATCCGCTTCGTGTTTCTACACGTTAACAAACCCTTGACGAAAATTCGCTATTACGTCTAGGAAGTTCACACTTTCTTGGAGTTCATATAAAGGCCGTGACGTCGCGCTCACTTCACCATGCTGCAATCTGGCCGCCCAGCGACGAAACATGTTTGTCTTTGATGTGTGATTCTGTACGATTGGGAAAATTCAAAACCGCAACTCTCCTCGACAGCGGCTGAACTCGGTCAAGCTAGTGTCGAAAACTCTGCCACCGTCAGGAGTGGAACCCTAAGACCTTCCTGTATGGGGCACTGCAGTGACATCTGTTGGTGCCCTGAGCGTCAATACACTTCCCTGAGAGGCCTCCAGTCGTCCAGCTACATTCACTCCAGGGCCAACCGCGAGGTGCCCGGGCCGCGGCGTAGCGCGTCGGGTCGACGCACGTGCCAGCGCGCACGCCCCGTGCACGGCCCCCGCCCGGTGCCCCGCCCGCGCACGCCCCGCCCGCGCAGCCCCGCCCGCGGGCCGCGCCGCCGCCCCTGGGGGCTGCTTCGGGCGCTGGCGGTGGCGGGCGGCGCGTGGCGCGTGGCGGCTGCCCTGCGCGTGTTACGAGCGCGCAAATCCCCGCCATACCTCCTTACGCTGCATGCAGCTTTTGTGTTTTTCTACTTATTTAGCACATAATAAGAAATAATAATTTTCCCTGCCCGACTCGGCCATTGGTATTGGACCGAGGCTCCTCGGCACCAAAGTGACTGTTTGAGACTAAAATGGATTTTTTTTTCGGTTTAGGCGAACTCGGACCACGCGTGCATCCTGCTTTAGCAGGTGCAAGTGCTTTTCTCGGGGGGGGGGATCAGCATTTTCCCAGATACCCGATTTTTATCCCCCCATGGTTGTTAGCCCTGGAGGTATGGACGATGAGATGAGATGATAATGATGGTGGTGAGGGATGAAAGGATGGCACATACACAAACAGACATACACAAAAACACTTATGCCTGAGGCGGGACTCGAACTCGCTGTCTTTTGCTAACGATCTTGGCCATTTGGCTGGAAATATGGATATATAGTTATAGGTAATTGCACAAATTTGAAGAATTAATTTATATTGTCTACTACGTTGTGAAATGTTTTTTTTAAATTCAAATATATTTGTATTTCAATCTTTTAAATTCATTTCTAAACATGAATAAATGTTTTAAAAACTGCGAAGTCTAAATTATTAGTTTTGTTGTCCCATATCATTATACCTATGAGACAAAGTACTGTAAAGTTTAGAATTTATCTTTAGCCACCGTAATATAATGCATAATTGTTATAAAATGGGTATTTCATGAGTGGGAGGTAGGTGCCTAGGAAGGAGCAGCGCTCAAGAAGTGAGTTTCCTCATTGAAACCACACTTTACGGGTCTGTAAAGAAGTGTGGAGTAAATCAGATATATTCACTTATTTTTTGTGCGTTTTGTTTTCTTTATGGGTGTTTCCATTTCGGTATAGCTGCTTTGACGGTCTCTCTTATCGATCGATACTGCTAATCAATTCTCCAATAGCGTCTTGCATGTGCAGGCACTTCTCTGGCAAGCTGCTACTCATTACGCTCAGCTTTATGCTGCTCATTAGGTTCCGCTTAATGCTTGTTGTCATTTTGTGAAAATGACACACTTTGTGACTGCTTTCGATTGTGGAACGAAGCAGTTCCAAGTGTGGGCTCTATCTTTCAATGATTGCCGTTTCCTTTCTTTATAATATGTTATGAATCATCTTGGGATTATCTTACATCTGGTCATTTTGTAAAACTATTTTTGACGATGGGTTTCACGTCTCTACGTATTTTAAGGGTACTCATTGGTAATCGGCACGTGACGAGCGATTTACGAACGTAGAAAGTCCCGCAACACATATTTAGGGCGTGCGCCATTAGGCACTTTGTGAGAGTGATCTACTTTAGGTGAGATTCCTTCTAAGTGGTGAAAAACCAAATGAACACTGTACCTTGCACCGCTAACATTCTATGTATCTAGATAGTCTCAGATAATTATGGCAACATTTGAAGGATCTAATACTAGTACCCAAAAGTTTGAACTACTGAACTCTTTGTTCATTTCTTCAAAATCTCTGTTCTAGTTTTCACCATCTAATTTTCTAACCTAACCGAGGATACTCACTAGTAATTGGTACTGAAAGTTCTATGATAATTAATCATGCTAATTGGTAATTAGAAGCGCAGAAATTTGCGTGAAACTACGCACGCCTTACCCCTCATTTAAACTGATTTCTAAAAATTATCTACTGCGTGCGTTAAAGCTTCAGATGCGTTGGAATATTTTTGTTTTACTTTTCACTGATGATCATATTCTTTATGTTCTATCAGTGTTTATAAAAAAAACTTATAACGTTTTTGTTTCGGATTTTTTTCTGTGTTTGTATGTTTCTTTGTTCGTGAAACATTTTCTGGAAGTTCAGGTTGCATGAAAACAATCATATGCCATCATATAAAGCTCGATTTGCAGATTCAATCAAGTACGCAAAATATTGCTGTCTTTATTCTTTGGTATGCAAATTCTCAAAATACTAAGGAAAAGTGCTTAAAATCCAATGTAATGTGTAGTGCTTCAATGACCTCAATTATAAACAGTACCCAAATTATTTTTTTTACTATCAGCTTGTAATATTGCAAAACAAATATTTTACAACATGTATTGCTTCACTACTACTACCACCATCCAAACCATTGTCTTCGGAAACAATATGTAACTGTACCGCTACCATATGTATTGTATTTTCTAACAACAACCAGTCTAGTTTTGTTCATGTTCAGTTTCTACTTGAAACACAGACTAATCTGCTTTTTGTACAAATGCTAGATTGTCTGACACAAATTATTATGTGACAATACATGTTGTTAAAGGAACCTTTCATTTCAATAAATGTAGTTCCAATAGGAGAAAAATAAATTGTATTCATCTCCGAATGTAATTTTCTGGACATATCCAGGTTTTGCTATCTATTATTCAATTGTTAAGATTCCAGTAGAACTGAAATAGTTTAAAACTACTCAAATAATCTTGTGAGTCTTCAAAGCAAGTGTTTCGTGAGAACTATTTGCAATGCTGTGAATTTCCAAGCCCAGTGTACGTTTCATTCTACTTTGCGATGTTGTTCTACTTTCCCGCGTTTCCACGTAAGTAGTAGTGGGTTGTCATTTTAGATTGCTGTCATCTTGAACTCGTGTCTCCTTGTCTACCTGCTGATGTGTACCAGCATTCGTAGACAACTCTGTATTTCTTTGTATTTCGTTGTATTTCGTGGAAGGCGTATTTGTTTTTGTCGAGATAACTTTTTTATCTGAGTATTTAAAAATATTTTTACGTAAACAATTTTGAGAAATAATTTTTTGTACAAAATATAATGAAAAACATTAATAAATACAATATGTGAAACGTTTCGATAGATATTTATTTACAACTTTCGAGAATTCGCAGTGAAAAAGATAAAAAGTTGCTACAAGCAGTATGTGAAAGGAATTTGCAAATTGAATTTTAATTTGCTCTTTTTTGCATTTATGTGCCATTGGGAGAGTGGATTTTTTCATTGCATCAATTGACGCTCTGTTTCAAGAACGTAGGTAAAAAAACATATTCAGTAATCACCCCAACAATTCTGAATTATTGTCAATTTTGTTTAACACATCAGCACAAATGTTCATTATTAATTCTCATTTGTTTGGAGTGAGAAGTTTTGTCATCATTTTTGAAAAACATTTGGTGCTTGTTGAATGTGTCACGAAAAATCTGATGCACACTTTTCTTGTTAATTCCTGAGATTCAGCAAGACCTAGCAGTCTTAGACACATTTTACGGGTCAACTTTTCTGGATGTTGTCGTCCGTTTGTGATGTTGAGAGTAGTTCAGGGCGCAGATCGTCTTCGGTCTTTTCGTGTCCCTCCTTAAACCTTTTAAATCACTCAACACATATAGTTTTTTTGGGCTAAATAAATCTAAAATCTAAATCTAAACAACTCGTGTGCGCGAAAGATATTCCCTGTCGTACACTTCCTTTAACATGGCATGAGCTCCTGAAGCAGTTTTAAAGATTTTCACAAGAAACGTAAAGTTAACTCGTTGCTGCATCTGAACAGTAATTTGTTCGACGACACGCTAGTCCAAGAACTTAAACGGCCGATTGCTACAGCGACGCTGAACGACGTACGGCCTGAGCTCATCGCCCTCAGGAA